GCCGACCAACTGGGAAAATTCGTTGGGGAAGTGAAGAGGGTTTCGTTGTTATGGTTGCCGTTGTGGGTGTGGTCAGAGCGGCATAAAAAAGCGTTGAATTACAACATGAAAAATGCCCAAGGCAAGTACTTAAAGTCTGAAAAAATGAAGCCGCAATGGAGGGATAGTTGTTCATTATCCGAGGTTTAAGAAGTGTTAATTTGGAGAAAGTATGAGGAATTGTGCTACTTGGTCAGGCGATATAAGGGATACTATTGAAGAATTTGGGTTTACTGTAAAGATCCGAACAAATAACTCGCTAAATAACCAAAATATATCTTCTGACACACTGAAGCACCCTCTTAAAGAACTCTATCCCAACCTTCGAGCGATCATATATCAAAGTTTCCCATTACCGCAAAGTATCTATGGAAACCTCGTTAGGATTTCGGTCCGTTGTATCGAGTAAATATAGCCATATAAATTATTTTCATGATTTATATAATATTTATTGCACAAAACGAAGACCATAACAATAAACATAATGACAGGACAAACAGCAACAAACAAGCAAACAACTCGCGCACGTACACATGCGGATACTTTAATGTATTTACGAAGTTGAAGTTCGCCTGACTGACGAAAAGTTTTAATCGCTTGGGGGAGGGGCTGGTGGTGGAGGGTGAACTCCTATCCATTTCGGGCTTTATCATACATTCAACTCGCTGTCGGCCGTACAACGTCATAAATTTGTAGCGCCAATTAATCACTTTTCCAGCGGCAGGGACCCAGGGGCTGCGAGGGCAAAGTTTTCGTTTGACTGCATTGCAGTGCAGTCTATTGAATAATTGATGATGCATCTTGCAGATACATTAAAAACGAGCGTACTCGAAAGCCCACATAAATATATGTGTATTTTTGTGGATATAAAATGCCAACAAACTGTCAATTCCAATTCATTAAAGACTCTGTGAGACGTGTGGGAAAAAACGGCACCGACTGCGGCAGCAACAAGTTGAGCTACAGATACAGAGCACGCAGAGATACGGATGCGGAAAGCCAGCATAAAAGTATCTAGGGTAATGAGAGAACATTTCAAAAAGGGACCGCTGCGTGTCTGTGAATTAATGAAGGGACGAAGGTACGAAGGAACGGGACCCTCGCATCAAGATGATAAAAAACTCTTATCAAACAGAAGCCCAACAATTTTTATTGCTTTGACAAATGCCAAGAGGACCGCTGATGCTGATGATATACATATCCATTCTTTTTTTCGGAGAATTTTAAGTGTTATTTATGTTTGTACAGTTAATTTGCATCCCATTGATGTCGGACCCGAAAGGGTTTCATAGCGGTCCAAGAAAGGTCTCGAAAGATATTTTATGCGTACATAATTAATACTTGGTGCGGGCGTTTCAGGGCCTAAGCGGAAATGCGGTCCTAAAAATTCCCCGAACTCCCTCCCCGTCCCTCGCAGCACATTCCATGGGGCATTGTTCGCCGTAAGCTGGCATTAAATTTTCACGGTTTAAACAGCGGCTGCGGCTCGAAATAGGCTTAGGTTTCGGTTTCGACCACTATTTGCTACCTCTTCTTCTGATTTTCCCGCCCATTCTCCGCGTTTTCCTCCTCCGCGGACGGGGCTGCGGCTGCCGCTTCGTTTTCATCATCGGAGAAACGTTTTTCACTTGAATTTCTGTCGGCGGCCATATAATTAAGGTGCACACGGCAAAATATGAGTGCAACGCAACACTTTGTGGCCAGGGCTCGAAGGAACAAGGGACAGAGAACCTGCAATTTGCCCTGGCCGGGACTCTCGGTCTCGGAATCGCTGGAGTCACCAGTCAGTCGGGGATTCAGGCTCGAAGTTTCCCCGATGCGGCCACGATGCTCATTAAAAAGCCACATATATATAGGGAAGCACAGGGGAAAAATGTATGAGCTGCAAAAAAGTTTGATAGTAAAAATAATAGTTTTAGATCATTGAATCATATATTCTGGGTAACAGTACAGAATATCGGTCCATAACTGACCTTGTCAATAATGATGGTTCCATTACTTAGTTTTTATACTCTCATGATAGACTGATCTGAATTTTTGACGTGACATAAAATGTGAGATTTGAAGAGTTCGTCACCTTACTCTACAGTTTTTAAAATAAAAATTATTGTCTTACACCAAGAGCTGTGTTATTTAACTCCGCTTCCATTTTACAACCGAACTTTTACAGGACTTTTTTAACATATGTAAGCAACTTTCTCTTGATAACCATTTGAAAAATATTGATTTTCGGAAAAGTGACATTCAAAAAATTAATCGATTGTCACATTACCATATTTATCCTATATTATTTCCGAGGTCACTAATTTATTTCTTAAAAATTAAAGAACCAACATTTTTATTAAAATGCATTTATGAATATTATACACAGGCTGCTATTTTTTCTCTGTGTGTACTCATAAAACCTGACCAACAAATTGAAGCTGCTGGGTTAACGGGGAGTAACTGAGGGGAGCCGTGCCCCAAAAGTGCTACAGTTAATGGGCAGCAAACAGTCCCGGGTCCTCGACGTCGTGTCTGTGTTAATTTGATATGCTGCAGGCTGCCCAAGAAGGTAACCGAGTGGGCGGAGGGGAGGGGCCTACAGGAAGCGGGAAGGAGCCATCTGTCAGTCGGAGTTATGGCAAATGCTCTCTAGATTGCGTTACTTCTGCCCTCTTTTGATGAATTTTGTTTGTAGATAATTTAAAAGGGAATTTTTAATAAACACAGTTTGAAACTTTAAGTACCCTCTGCTTTAGTGGTGTGCAAAAACGTTAGGATAACTAAATTATGTATTGAAGGGCAACAGCAAATGGAATTCTAAAATAGGTTCAATGTTTCGAGACAAATAAATCTCAAAATATCTCATTACCACTGAACCAAAATGCACAAATCGATATATGTTCTCGAAATAATTTTCCTTGGTGAATACATTCTATTATATAATAAACTATATATGAAAATTCCATCCCATTCACTATTTTTCCCATGCACATTACCTTTCCTAATAATATCTGAAAGTCCAACGAACAACTTTCCACGCCGCCTCGTAATCAGATATCTGTTTTGGCCCTACACCAACTGCTCGCCGAGCATTTAATGCAATTTATTTAATTAGTTTTCGTAGGAAGTTGGCCTGTCTTTTCGTTTTGCTGTCGAGCAGGGTATTATGTGTCTGTTTCTGTCGCTCGATATACATTTCCGGGCTACGCAATCGCGACAGACACCCTACACCGGCACCCCCTTCGAAAATAGTCAAAAAATTCCACAAGCAAGAAAGCGCTCATAATTCACTTCACAGGCGACTGGGAATAACAAGGTTTTGACGTTTATGAATTGATCATTATGCAAAATGATGATTTGTGGCGTTCAAATTACAAATTTGTTACATATTCTTTTCCCTGCCCACCTTCTCCACTGGGGTTCCTGCCTCGAAATGTTGCGCCAATTTCAGCCAACCACAAATCATTTTTTCGACTCTTATATACACATCTGTATATGTACGGATCGGTTTATCTGGCCCCCATCGTCGGTCTGTGCGTTATAAAAAATTGACTTTTCGCAAAACGATAAACGAGAAATACGGCAGAGTCGGGTGGAGGGAGGTACGCATATTTACGCATAATTTGTGTGGCCCCCATTCCGATAATAAAAATAGGGTACCCGAGGATGCCAAAAATATGCATAAATGGGTGGGGGAGGGGGAAAGGCCAGGGGATCAGAGGAAATGCAATTTTTCCTAGTGTTCGAGGTGCTCCTTGAGGTGCTATAAAAAGATGAACGGGAAAGTCTCAACTCGTAATGAATGAAAACAGCTGAAGAGAATTAAACTATCTGGGATACTTGGGATTAGAGAATTTATGTGCAGTCGCAGGGAAAAACTCGGGAGTCTGGACTTATAAGGCATTAATAGTTTATAATTACATTATAATATCAAATGTTTTGGAAAGTCACAAATAGTTATATTATTAAGTCATCTCTGATTTGACTTAATGTCAAACATTTGTAAAATGTTTGTATCTATCCAATGTATCTCAGTGGAACAACATTCATTTGTCCCATATAGATGCCACCATTTGCATTCCAAGCAACCTTTCCCACTTCCTCCAGCGATCTCCGTGAAATACTTCAGATAATACCCATACATCAACTGTCGGTCTGAACCCTCTTTTATCAGAGATCTAGCGTATTTCTGCCACGAATATTTGGCCGCTTACTCATCCAGCGTTTCATTCAAACTGCCAGGCAAAACATTTGCCTAATTATCCGCTTCAGAACCGGCTCAGGGCTAAGCCGAAACGGAGTTCCTGGAAAACCTGACACATTGTTAGCAGCTATAAAAACGTCAAGGAGATCCATGGTCGGATAGGCAGGACACATGGCGAGCACAGTCTCAGTCTTTTCAGGGATTTTCATGGCAGGCAGAACAGCATGACACATGCACGGCAACAAAACTACGATTTCGATTGCAGCTAATGATGGCAGCGGAGCGTCGTGTGTGTCTTCAGGAGATTCCTCCGCATCCCACTCCAATGGCAATTGATTTTAATTTCCATATGTGTGTGTCCCCCAGCAGCTGCACTGAGGAAAGGAATGGCTAAATTTACATGGATTGTTCTTTATTTTATAAGGAATAAGTAAAGGGACATGATTTTTTTGTTACATTGTTTTTCAGACCTTTTAGATATGATACAAAAGTGCTTTTTATGTTAAATAAGAAGGTTATATAAAATATTATATTTAAAAGAAACTGCGGAATATCATTAAAATCAGCTAAGATTATATATTTACAAAATATTTATATATGTATAAGAAAGACTGTTCTTCATTTTATTGGGAGCAAGTGAACAGACCAGAGAATTTTTGAAGTTTTTTTAAACTATTTTTAAGACCTTATAGGTAAAACAGAAATATTTTTTGTAGTAAGTGCAAAACCAATATAATATATTATATACAAAAACGTGGCAGAATATCAATTGAATCAGTAATGTTTACTTTATCTCTGATCTGGAAGAATATCTATTCCTAATGTTTTAATAATCTTTGGTTCTCTTATGTATATATATCTATATATGTATTTATTCTATATCTATATATTTTTCTCAGTGCATGGGAGTGTATGTGCGGCGGTTGTTAAAACTTCCGCTGCAGCCTCAGTCGGAGAATAAACCGCATCCACAGCTGCTCCAAAATGCGGCGCCGACGATTTTGTGCCCGTTCCCATCTTGTCCCCCCTCTCGAATGTTACCCTACTGCTGGTCGGATCCTGCTTCTTCTCCCTTCCACCGCCATTAGCTCTTCTTCTATGCACTTCCGTTCCGCAGACACATACGTGGACAAAGTGACCCAACTGATGGGCAGGTGTTGCCGTTATGCCGGCATTTTGTGGTCTCCGAGTGCGGTTGAAATCGGATGGCAGGGGCATCTGCATCTGTTCCAGGGAACCGCCATGGGTGTGGTCCCTGCGATAAAGGCGAGCTACATTTTAATTCCGAGTGGAAGGCCCGATTTAGCCGATTCCAGATACCGTAAGTGCCCGGCCGTCATTAGAGCGGGATGCTGTGGTGCGGTTCTCCGAAGTGATTGTCTTTCTTCTTTCTTCAAAAGACCTCATTGTGATTGATTGATTGATGAGGCAGCAGTCTGGAACTGGAGTTCAGAGTGATTAAGAAAGAGATCATAGGGAACGACACAATGAGGCATGTCCAGGGAGCAGGGAAAGTCTTTGGGTATTGTCTATATAGTTGTGGGAACACGAATCGGTTTTCATTGTGGTTAGGAAAGAAAGGCTAAGCCGGCATTGATTGACAAGATTGAGTAGGTTAAAAAAGTGCTCTACAGCTGGTTGGCTAACAAGGTTTAATTGAAAGTAAAATCTACAAAGTGACTAGACCAATCTGAAGATAATTTTTTGATTTACAGATTATCTTAAAGTTATACCTAATATATACATCTATACCATAAATTGAAAGAACATAAATTGAAATACCAGTTTCTTATACAAAATTGGAACCTTTGTCTGGATGAAGGTTCTCCTCAACAATAATATTTTCCCATGAGCATAAAGAAGTGCAGAACAAGGGTTCCGCTTAGTTATCCTTATCCTTTGTACCCGAAATTTGCATATAGCAAAAACCATCCTATGTGGATCTTGCGCACCTCCCTCCACTCCTTTTCTACTGTCATTCACCACTTGCCGGCTGTCGTTTGTAGAATTTATGACTTGCTGTCAATGAAATGCCACCCAAAGCGCTCTGTTCTGCCATTGTTGACACCACACGCAGATACAGATACTTGCACAGTTACAGATACAGGGACAGGGACAGATACGCCCAAGACAAAGGAGCTGGCAATTGAGCGATGTTGTCGCATTGTTGCACATATTTAGCAGCCATTTTCAATTTCATTTGTGCCACAATTTAAAATGCAAAACACAGGCGAGGATGTCGGGTCTTTGGCATGGGACATTGGGGGACTTTGACAAATGCCGCTGCCACTTGGCCTAGGTGCTAATGGTTCGCCGGTGGTCTGTTGTCCGGAATGGCCGGACTGCCGGCTCCCTCCGAGGTCGGCTTATTGAAATTGATGAGCGGCCAAGTACGTGGCAGCTTAGCTTAAAGCCACCCCGACCCCCGAAACCCAACCCCATCTACCATCTCCGAGTTTCGGACGACCCTGGGCCTATAAGCGCAACTCAGTCTGACTTTGACATTGATTGATTGCTCTGGCAGTGTAATTTATATGATTGTATTAGGGGAGTTCGCGGGGCCTTCGCTTCTCCACACTTTGTTATTAATAGTTGCCGCCGCCGCTGGTTGTTGTTTCACCAACAAATTCAGCTGAAAATGATTTTCGTTTATAAAATATGCTCGGGCAATTCATTTTTAATGGTTCGCCATGCACTTTAGAGCTCTGGAGCAGCGAGAATTTAGCCACCTAGATCGGGTCCCAAATCCACACGAGAGTGGGAGATTTGGGGCGAGAGCTGCTGAAAAATTGATGGCAAGTGTTTCCGGGTGATAAGGCAAACCAGGCATACTCTTTTTGTCAGGGGAGCTTACGGATAAATTGGGGATTATTAAATAATAGCTATTAAGCGAGCTTGAATAGATAAGTGTGAAATTCTGATAGAATTTTGAGTTGATTTATTAAATATTCCTTTTTATAAGTAATAGTTTTTAATGTCAAATTTATTTTTTCTCATTGGTTAAGACATTTTCACCCGTGTGAAGAATATTCTACCCTAAAAACACTTCGAGCGCACCAGACACTTTCAGATAGCCAGCATTCCTGCAATTTTTGGGCATACCCTTTTCGGAGCCCTGCTGAAAAATATTTCCCAATAGAATTCCATCGAGCTGTGAGTATTTTGCACAAATTTGATACGCAAAATATGTTGCAGCAACAGGAAAGGTTCCGGTGGGGGCTGTAGTTTCTATATGGGATAACCAGTCACGTACTGTGGAAAAGCCACGGACAAGTGCAGCGAGCACCGCCCCCTTTTCCGCCCCTTTTTTGCCCCGGGAACCAAGCAATTTTGTTTTGGTTTTCTGGAAAAAATTCGCATTTTATTTATGGCGTACGTTTAGCGGCGAAAAGGTGGCGAAGGGAATTCAAGTTGATTTTCAATTTCGGCAGCTGCTTTAAAAAGTGGCGCTCCCAAATGGTTGTGTTTATTTTTTTAGCTGTTTTGGCATGATGTTTTTTTTGTGTGCCTTTTTTTGGTTAGTGCAGCACTAACTTCATTAGGCATGGAGAGACGTCGGAGTCTTGAACTTCTGCAGCTGCCCCGGGCGAAAGTTTAATGTCTTTTCTGGCTAATTGAGTAGCCGGCACCGGCAACTCGAGAAGGATGGATATGGGGGGGAATGGGGTAAGGATAGACCGACTTATAGACGGACCAAGCGAACCGCACATAAAAAGACCCTGCCAAGTCATGCATCTAATTATGGGCAGCAAAAAGGCTGAGTAAAACGAACGTCGAAACTATTTACTGCACTGGGGTTTCGGGAAGGAGGTGTGTTCGGTTCTTGGGAGGGGATTATGGGGTGGTATTGGGGGTACATGTGCTCCGGTATGGCTGCTTAAGGGCAATTAACTGTTACTTACGTTGCCATTTTCCAAGCAATTAAAAACGCGGAGAGCTAGCGGACCAGGAAAGCCATTAAAGCTGGTGTTTTTTCAGTTAGCCATTGGTCTGCGATTAGAAGGGATTGTCCTGTGTGTAATTTACGTTAGCCATTCTAACTCACGCGAATCTCACTTCGTTAATAAACCAATCACGCTGCAGTGACTTTATAGCTGAGTGATTTATCATCCATCTTGCTCTGTTTTTATGCCCTATGTCTTACTATTTGAATTAGAAATCGATCACCTGGGCCATCCATCAACAGTCGTTTTCACCCATCCTTGGCTGATTACCTGCTGAATTCCCACGGGGATTCTCTGGCCAACTCAGGCGTTCTCTTAATTAAGCTAATCAGGCCAGAGACCAGCTTTAGTTACTTGCGCTGCGGCTTAAACTGTTAACTTAAGCTGGCCTCAGCTGATGGTGGCCCTAAGCCGCTTCATTGAATTAAGCCAACTGCAGGAATAAGACCCCCTCCCCGAAGGGCACCTCCATAAGCCACCTGTAAGTACGGGGAGTTCAGAGGGGGAAGCTCTGGGCGCCATCTGGCATCCGCAGAGCGCCAATAAAATTATACACCAATGTCTCTATTGGACTATCTGCCCTGCTCTTTTATATTTCTTTGCCTGGCTCATGGTTTTTTTTCCTTCTTTGGAGTGGTCCATTCCCAATGCGGTTTTTTATGTGGCTCCCGCTCTATCTGTAACTACTTCCAAGCTGTTGCCAGCAATTAAACTTTGTGTCTGCCGTTCCATAGTATCTTTCTAGCGTTCCTTTGGCCCCTTTTAAACTGCCAGTGCCATAAAGCGAAATTAAAGCTGGGTGTTTAGGAATCGGAGTTCGAGTTCGAGGCCAATCCATGGCTCTGATATTTCCGTGCACTTAAACACTTAACGCCTTTGTTTATACACTTGAGTGCACTCGCCTCGTCGCCTTTTGATGTGGTGTGAAAAGTCGTCGTCGATGGCACAAACACTCACTTGCCCCTAAGCTCACTCGCATTTCCCTCATATTTTCCTCTGCCTTTCCTTTTTAAATCCCAAAAACGTATCCGCAGAGCACAGTACTCATAAGTGTTCAGCTAAATGGAAAAACATTTCTTTTAAGCGCTGACAAAACAATAAAATAAAAGACGCTTATGCTCTGGAGGGCATTTCGATGCCGTCTCTCGATTGCGTTTGTGATTCCGTCGCCGATTCCGATTCCTGGTCCCATATAATGAAGGTATTTGGGATTGTCTAAAGTAGTAGGAAGTGTTTTCCGTTTTGGTGTGAAAATTGCCGGCGAAGATTTCCGTTAAGACAGCGGACAGCCATTTCGGAAGGTGGGGGAAATGGGAATTGGAAGGCGAAGGGCCTTGGCCAATTTGGGGGAAGCCATTTTCAGCACAAACAAAAAGCTATAGAGATAGGTTTTCCTAAGGGTCGAAGGAAGGAGGATCCGTGCATGTGTGCTGCGTAATCTGGGGAGGAATAGGGGTCCCAACAGGAAGGTAAACGGAAGCGGAAGGATGTTCAGGTGACAAAGATGTCGGTGCCAATGTGTGTGAAGGGAAAACAAAAGACCCGAGCGGAAAAATACGTGCTAGGAAATGGAAAACGTCTTGTTGATGTAGATTTACTATGCCAATAAGCAGTTTAGACAGGCAATAAAGGAAAATTAAATGGGAATTGATAAAGATTTCAATGTACTTAGATAAAAGGTGCGGAAGTAAAAGGAATCGTTTTGAACTAATGGGAAATAAAACTAATATTTCCTGGAGAAAACAAAATATATTATCAACATTAGTTGATGTACTAATCTTTAAGATCTTTCGTCGAAAACCTCCGCACTACTTTGGTCGCCGCTGCCAACTTAACCCCTGTTTTCCCACCAAGAAACTGGGTCAATTCAATGCCGTTTGCGTGGCATTTACATTTGTGTTAGCCCATCTCAACCTATTCTGGTTATTTCCCACCTTGATGTTAGATTTCTTGTTCTTCTGCGACAGCAGTTGGTCTGAAAGTGAAATGCCAATGTAGCCCAATTATGCCATGTCTCATCCCCCTCCCCCTTCCCTGACACCCCCCAACCGACTTACCCGAAAGGTAACTGCCAACTGCTAACAATGCAAGGCCTACAAACGACGCCACTCCCCTAAACGTATATGTCCTGTAGTATATACTTATATATATTTTTGCTTATTTCGCCTTTTGGTGGTTATCTTTGCCATGGCAGCAGCATCTCCACTTTCCCCCAAACCCCTGCTCTGGGCAACAGCTGTCAACCAGGTTACGTGTGTGAAAGTCCTTGGAGGTGGGGTTGTGGGCATAAATTTAGCCCACTCCCCGGCCCTCACCTAAAATTGCGAAAAACAGAAAAACACCAAAAACCGAAATGACAACGCCACACAGGGAAAAATATTGCCATAATTGCTGGATTTTGGAGAGAGAGTATCTCGAAAAATACTTTTTATTGGTTGGTAATGCACCTTCATCAAGTTGACTTCCAAAATTATAGATGGTAAACATATTTTTCAAAG